AGACATCTATGTGAGAGAGAAACATCTATCAGTTGCCTCCTGCACCCTCCCTGACCAGGGATTGAACCCACAACCTGGGCATGTGCCCTTACTGGGAATTGAACCTGCCATCTTTCGGTGTACAGGACAACACTCCAACCAACTGAGCCATATTGGCCTAAGCTAAATATGCGTTTATCAAAGAGTATTAAAAGGAGTAAAGCAAAAATGTCTCCCTTCTTTGTTTCCCATTTACTGGGCTCCCCTACTGCCCTCCAACAGGTGACCCTGCTATTAGTTTCTTAGGTGTCCTCTACAGGGTTTTCCCCACATATAAGCAGTAGGAATTTAAATTTTTACTCTTTTTTGTTATTGTTTACACAGATGATTGTATACTATACACACTATTTTTAAAATGCTTTTTAAAAAAATGTTTTTATTGATTTCAGAGAGAAAGGGAGAGGGAAAGAGAGAGATAGAAACATCAATGATGGCCCAGCCGGCGTGGCTCAGTGGTTGAGTGTCGACCTATGAACCAGGAGGTCACGATTCAATTCTCAGGGCACATGCCTGGGTTGTGGGCTCAATCTCTGGTGGGGAGCGTGCAGGAGTCAGCTGATCAATGATTCTCTCTCACCACTGATGTTTCTATCTTTTTCTCTCTCCCTTTCCTCTCTCTGAAATCAATAAAAATATGTTGCTTTTTTTAAAAAAGGAAACATCAGTGATGAAAGAGAATCATTGATCAGCTGCTTCCTGCAAACCCCCTATCAGGGATCAAACCCACAGCCTGAGCATGTGCCCTGACAGAATCAAACTGGCGTCCTTTTGGTTTGTGGGTTGATGTTCAACCATTGAGCCATACCAGCTGGACTATACACACTATTTTTAATATATCTTGGAGATCTTTCCTTTAGTACATAGAGTCTGCACCCTTTTCTGTGGTTGCAGCATATTCTCATATGTGAATGGGTGATAACTAGCATTTGCAATTTTGCTAAATAGTGCCAGTATTAGGGCTCTCCAGAGAACAGCCAACAGAGGTGTGTGTGTAGAGAGAGATTTATCTTTTAATTTGATTGATATTAGAGAGAATGGGGGGAGAGAGAAACATCAATCTGTTGAGCCATCCATCTGCTGTTCCACTTATTTATGCATTCATTGGTTGAGTCTTTTTCTTTGTTTTGTTAATCCTCACCCGATGATATTTTTCCATTGATTTTTAGAGAGAGTGGAAGGAAGGGGGAAAGACACAGAGTGAGACACATCAATGTGAGAGAGACACATCGATTGGTTGCCTCCTGCACACACCCTTACTAGGGCTAGGGATGTAGCCTGCAACCGAGGTATGTACCCTTGACTGGCATTAAACCCAGTACCCTTCAGTTTGCAGGCTGATGCTCTATGCTCTATCCACTGGGCCAAACTACCTATGGCTCATTGGTTGATTCTTATATGTGTCCTCACCTGGGATGGAACCCATAACCTTGGTGCATCGGGATGACACTCCAACCAACTGCCCGGCCAGTGCAAGGTTTATTTATTTTAAAGTATTGATTCACATGCTTTTGGAGGCTTCAGAAGTCCAAAATCTGCAGGGAAGGCCGGTCAGCTAAAGACCCAGGGAGGAGTTACAAATCCAGTCCAAAGCAGTCTGCTGGCAGAATTCCTTCTTGCTGGGGAAGACAGGGGAGTTAGTATTTGTTTTAGTAAGACCTTCAACTGATTAGAGGAGGCCCACCCACACTATGGAGGGGAATTTGCTTTACTCTGATTGAAAAGTCTACCAATTTAAATGTTAATCTCATCCACAAAGTGCCAGGACTGACCTGCAGACCCTGAGCTATGGATGAATGCATTACTCTGGTACATTTTCTGTGAAAGAGAGGGCTAAGGGACTGCTTGGCTAAGACAATCTAAACAGCCTCGTTTGCCCTGCCTCCTTAGACTTTTATTGTAACAACAGCTTGAACTACAATTAACTTTTAGATACTATCAGCAGGGTAAGCATCCTTGAGAAAACAAATGTATCTGTAGTGTCTTTAAAACAAGGACATTTTGGAGTCTAAATATAAAGATTCTAGTAAAACACCAGAGGGATTAGACTTGTTTGGAAAAGTCAAGGCAGGGTCTGCCGCCTTTGGCAAGGTTCACCTAGAGCAGTGGTTCTCAACCTTCCCAATTCCGTGACCCTTTAATACAGTTCCTCATGTTGTGGTGACCCCCAATTTCATTGTTACAAATTGAACATAATTAAAGCATAGTGATTAATCACAAAAACAATATGTAATTATATATGTGTTTTCTGATGGTCTTAGGCGACCCCTGTGAAAGGGTCGTTTGACCCCCAAAGGGGTCGCGACCCACAGGTTGAGAACCACTTACCTAGAGGCCCCCAACCTTTTGGAGATTCCTCCTTATAGACTTTCCAACCAAGTCCCGTGCTTCCCCACAACAAAGCACTTTCACAGAAACATCCAGAATAATATTTGACCAACATCTGGGTATAGTAGCCTGCCCAAGTTAATACACAAAATTAACCATCACAGTGCCAAACTGACCTCTACAGAGATTATTCCAATTTATGTAAGATTCCTGTCCACAAGTACCAAAGAAGAGCAAATTGGTGCCTTTGGACAGAGTATCCAAGAATCCACATGAGGTTTCTGAGGGTCTCATGTGCCTGAGATCATTAGAATCTAATGTAAAAAGAATTCACAGAATGTCAGGACAGGAAGGCACCTAAAATGCAATCTAGTTAAATTCACTCATGTTATGGACTAGAGAACCGATGCATGAAATTCGTGCAAGAGTAGGCCTTCCCCCGGCTGCCAGCACCGGCTTCCCTCTGCTACCTAGGACCTGGGCTCCCCTCTGGCTGCTGGCAGGCACCCGGGACTTGGGCTTCCCTCTGTCCACCAGCAGGCACCTGGGACCCAGGCTTCCCTTGCAGCCCCGGCTTCGTTTGGAAGGTCGTCTGGAAGGACGGCTGGTCTAATTAGCATATTATGCTTTTATTATTATAGATTGGGAACTGTAATATGGTCGTTGGCCAATGGTCAGTGTGCCCATGAACTGTGGGGTCCTGCTTGGTTCAGAAATGGGATCCTGGGTGACCTGACGGGGATTCAGCCTAGCAAACCATCCAGGGTTCCCATCAGGGTTCTTTTTTTTTTTTTTTAATAATTTTTTTTTATTGCTTAAATTATTACAAAGAGTATTACATATGTCTCCTTTTTTCCCCCTGCCCTTGACAATCCCCTGGCCTCCCCTACCCCCCAGTGTCTTATGTCCATTGGTTATGCTTATATGCATGCATTCAAGTTTGTAATGGTCTTTATTATCCATGAATGAGTGAGATCATGTGGTATTTTTCCTTCATTGACTGGCTTATTTCACTTAGCATAATGCTCTCCAGTTCCATCCATGCTGTTGCAAATGGTAAGAGTTCCTTCTTTTTTACAGCAGCATAGTATTCCATCGTGTAGATGTACCACAGTTTTCTAATCCATTCATCTACTGATGGGCACTTAGGCTGTTTCCAAATCTTAGCTATGGTGAATTGTGCTGCTATGAACATAGGGGTGCATATATCCTTTCTGATTGGTGTTTTTGGTTTCTTGGGATATATTCCTAGAAGTGGGATCACAGGGTCAAATGGGAGTTCCATTTCCAGTTTTTTGAGGAAACTCCATACTGTCTTCCATAGTGGCTGCACCAGTCTGCATTCCCACCAGCAGTGCACAAGTGTTCCTTTTT